CCTTATTCTCGCTAGAATAATCTTTTGGGTGGGGGTGGTTTTTCCTCTACGTTTATCCCGAAGGGCTACAGTTTTGTAGTCATTCAAAATGGCTATTCACCGTGCCAATTTCAAGAATTCTCCTACTTCTACTCTCTTCCTGCGCAAACGTCGGTTGCTGTTCGAAACATGTTTCCTACAAGTATATCCAGTTCACCCGAGAGAAGCTGAAAGAAAAATGGCTTCCATTCCTGAACGTCCAAATTCACCTATCAGAAAATGGCTACATTAAAAGTGGTACCGAAAGCCAAGTAGTAAAAACATCTTGGTTCATTACCTCTCCTCTCACCCCTCTCACACGAAAAGGGCGCTTGTGAAAAACATGTATCCAACAGCTACCAGCGTGTACACAGGAAGACAGCAGAGAGAGGAGTCCCGGAACTTGGCACGGCAAATAGCCATTTCTAATGGCTACGAAACTGTAGCTCAGGATAGGTGTAGAGGAAATCGTAGGCCTCCAAACGACAACTCTAGCGATAGAAGGGTCCCGTTTATCCTACCCTTCATCTCAAACGATATAAGTACAGCTATAAAACGCTGCTTGAGAAGGGCGGGCTTAGAGAATTCGGTAAGCGTGGTTGAAATACCACCGAGTAATCTTAAGCGCCAGCTAGTTCGTAACCGCCTATATGACCGTCTATGTGCAACTCAAAATTGCATAATTTGCCCCAGTGGTAGAGACGGTGATTGCATGAGCTCGGGTATAGTTTATCTGATCTCCTGTAAAGACGTGTGGTGACGAATACATTGGCGGAACGGGTAGACCCCTCTGTGTCCGCATAAAAGAACCCCTAGCCGGCAAACGTCTACCAAATACCCCACTAGGCATGCACAGGACCCAGAGACATAACGGGAAGACTTTGAAGTACGTGTCACGACCCTCGCACAAGAATCGAGAACAGAAGAGCGCAAAACTCTCGAGGCGTTCTGGATTAATTTCAGAAATCCGAAAATGAACCGGAGGAAAGAATGCCTCATTATCACGCATAATATTGGGCAGTATATAAGACTGTTATTCTGATAGGAAGCGCACATTATGCTTCCATATGAATTATAGCAACTATTCCGAGAATAGTTTCTATTTCTTTCTATATATATTTGTATCTTTCTACTACTGTATGTTTCAGTATTAAGGATCATATCCACTGCTTCTCAAGTTGCCTTGCAAATGTCGTAGTACGTAAATATTTCGATCCCATCCTTAGCAACTTCGATCACTGTAAACAGTCTTGTTATGCAAACCTATTTTAGCAATCTGAACTCATTGTTTGTTATTACTGTCCAAAAGTCATCAAGCGTACAATAACAAGAAGGGCATGAGGACGTTTGCGAGAGCAGTCTTCCGCCAGATGATATGTGGTTTTGAGAAGATATGGAGACAGTAGCTGACGAATGTTTTCGGTAAACATGTTGGACCTGTTCCAAATAAAGCCTTCTCCAGAAGCATATAAATAGGCTCGTTAATTGTTATCCAGGTTCGCCCTCGTCCAGGTTCGTCTACTAACCAGGTTCACCCGTGTAGTGGTTCGCCGGCTCTTTAGATCTGTACCGTATTGGTCTCCAGTTGCGAATTGTACATTGTTTTAGCATCACCGTCACTACGTCACGCTTCCCATCAGCCTAGTGTAACCTCATCATCATCCTGATCCTCGTGTCATTGTTCATTGTTTATCAATTTGGTCCGCGGTGCGCTGTCAGTAGTGGCGGCTATCCTCAAATGCGTTCTGTCTGCAACGCCATCGGTGGCATGTACCATTCCTCCCACACGGTACGCCATGCGTACAAGGCCGCTGGCCGGTAAGCTTATGCTGTGTATTTGTTAAGCCGCTATAGGCTTATCATTTCTCAGTCGTTATCTTTCTGGTCTACAATCTCTTAGGCAATGGTGGCACCCATCGATGCTCAAACTTCACGTTGCAGACATATCGTTATCCAAGAGCAGTCTCCCGACCGTGTTCCGCAGATATCTCATCTCGTTCGTAGTCACTTCCATCATCGATGCGTAGGTAACTTGCTATCCTCATCGATTGATGTGCAAGTGCACCCAGTCGCTCTACATACGATCTCTAACTTAGCCTAATGCAGGGCTCATCTGCGTCTCACTCTTCTGTTGTTATAGCCCTCGGCATCTGGGCGACTGTACGCGCCAGTGCGTGCGCCATTGTTCGTATCTCCTTACTTATCATTGTTATCAAGTTGCTGTTATCATAATACCAATGTTGTAATAGTATTATTTACAATACTCTTATGCCTTCGTAGGTCTCACTTTAGTAGTAGGTACAGCACCTCATAGCCTTGAACTTGCTTTATTTGTGTGTTAGTAGTTCTCTGTCGATACTAGTGTTGTATTGATGTTGCATCTATGTGTATAAACGGTTTAATTACTCAAGTTTGAGGTATTGCCTTGTGACAACTACGAAAAGTCCCGCGTGGCATTTTCTCGCGAAGTCGAGCATTCTGCTAAAAGCTAGTGATTATTCGGTGCCGAGAACTGACTCGAAACCCTATTTTCGACTAGCAACTGCAATATGAATTCTGTGCGGTTGGTCTTCACGCGACATACTCAGTGGAGGCCTCGTACAAAGCGGTGAATGTGCAATGCTGTGTTCAATGTGATTGAAATCTTGGTTTAGCGTCTTCTTTGTTTGGTTATGGAGGTGTTTGGCTGAACAGATTGCTGTCAGCTTGACCTTTCCAGGCTCTGAGAAAGGCGAAATCTGTCGAAACGTCAGCTTATTTGTGAATAAAGAATAAAAGTAACGCCTCGCGTTTGCTCAATAAGAATACAAAGAATTACTTGATCAATGCCGAGGTCAATCCCCGAGTTAGCGCATACTATCAATCATTGTGCCAATTTGGCTGCCACATACCTTATCATTGAAGTGAACGCAGCTGTTCAGTGATCTGTAGTAGTTATCTGTTCAGCGATCTGTAGTAGCTATCGTTTGGAATGGCATTCCGTCTTTCCATCTGAAAGGAGCAAAACAATCCGTGCATTTAGAACCAACGTTCATTTAACAATGGCATGAATAGTCCTGATTTTGCTAACATTGACATACTTACACGCGTTTATTCAAAGCACTTTGTTTTGACCACCGCTGTTGTTCAACATTGTCATCTTAACAGACGCAATGAGCCATACGTAAATTTTCTCGAATCTTCGAAGCCGCATTGACTTGAATCGGATTTTGAACAGTATGCACTGTAATTCTATATGAAAATAATCGTTGTCGCCGCACCATTAATGGTGTCCTAAATAGTTTAGCTATTCTACCAGACCGAAAGAAGAAAAACAACTATCACACAAACCAAGCCAAAAAAAACCCACCTGGTTCACTGTCCGACTCGCTGGACTCGGTGACGCTCAAAGGCGTACAATGGCGCAGCGCAACACGCAACGCGAAGATAGGGGACCTCTAACGACCCGGCACCCTATGCACGGTCAAGACTGCATTACGATCAGCCACAAAACTAGAAACCTATAAACGAGTTAGATCAGTTAATGTATATTACTCTAAGTGCACAACATGATGACAATCACACTTTCAGCACTTCAGGATGATTTAACAAGGCCAATGGACCATCTCTCAAGACTTTGAAGCCAATATGAAGATCTGATAGAGATCCTAGTAGATCCCAGGATCGACTTGCTATTAACCTTGGCACTGGAATATGAATGTGTCGTTTTCTCGTTCAGCAATCGCGAGGTTTTTAAACAGCATACATTTAGAGGAACTAAAGGAAGAGTCGCGCGACTTGGCTCGGCAAATAGCCATCTCCAATGGCTACGAAATAGTAACCCCACGAGATAAGTTTACAAGGAGAACGACGCGCCCACGCGAAACACTTGGCCAAAAGAAAATCCCGTTTATGTTGCCTTTTATAAGCGATGAAGTAAGCGTAGCTATAAAACGATGCTTAAGAAGGGCAAGTCTAGAGGAATCGGTAGCGATAGTTGAAATACCACCGGCTACTCTACGTCGCCAATTAGTTCGCAACCGCCTGCATGACCGTTGTATGAAACAACAAATTGCGTAATTTGCCCTTACGGCAGGGACGGTGATTGCATGAGTTCAGGTACGATATACCTGATCTCTTGTAATAATTGCGGAGATGAACATATTGGCGAAACGGGCAGAACTTTATGTATCCTTATAAAAGAACACCTAGATGGCAAACGAAACCTAAGACGAAGCACCCCACTAGGCACGCATAGGATACAAAAGCATAGCGGAGACGATTTTGAAGTAAAAGTCAATATCCTTGCACAGGAGTCCAAAACACCAGCACGAAAACTTCTTGAGGCTTTTTGGATAAATGCCAAAAACCCTACAATGAATAGCAGGGATGAATGCCCGGAGGTCATACGCGGCCTGACTCCGTATGTTCGCATCAATTGCTGATGTGGGATGGTGCAGTCGTCAACCACATGCGACTATAATCAGCTGTTCTAAACTTCCTCATTGGAAGTCACGTAAAAAAGCGGTGAGTTTTCGAGAAGTTGTTGATCGTGTAATTACCAAAGAGTCTTTCGTCCTTTTGTAAGTGTTATTGAAGCGTTTGGCCTAGTAGATTGTATATCAGTATAGCCTTCCAGGCTCTGAAGAAGGCGATACTGCCGAAACGTCAGCTACTGTTGTATTGTATTGTGTTTTTCCATGGAAGTAAATGTATGCTGTTTAAAAACCTCGCGTTTGCTGAACAAGAAAACGACACATTAAGATCGTAGTAGAGTCTCCTCTGAACAAGTTATCCGGATCGAACATGTTATCCCATGACAAGAATTATTACGAAATGAGAAATTCGTCATGATATTCGGAATGAACAGCCTCCAAGCTGCAGAGAACAACCACTGTGCGACAGCAGATGTACTCGATCTCAACAAGATGTCAGTAGAAGACATCCGTTTAAGAGTGGAAGTATATACGGAAAGAAAGCACTTGATTTGCTCGAGCAATACGCTATCTCACGAAGCACTTGAAATCTAAAAATAAACTGGAAAACAAGATAGTAGCCGTAGTGCTTGGTTCAACGGACGTTAATGCGCCATTAGCAAATTTGCCACCCATCCTAATACCTATTTTCAGCGGGAAAATATGGGAATATGAAGCATTTTGAGAGGGTTTCAACCACTCAATTCACTCCCGCAGAATGGACGTATTCCTCAAAATGAAATGTCTGTTAGACACTTTTCAGATAGAAAGACGAGAAACTGTCAAAGATCGCAAAATATCGCACCAAGCGTACCTAAAGCATTTAAAAATATGGAAATCCACAAGCTTTTGTCAACCAATTAGTTCACAGTGCAGGCTGTCTAAATTGAAAGCACTCATCTGGGAGATCAGAAGAAACTATGCCGAGCACTTTACTCCATAATTATGGTAACTATTCCTAAGCATCAATGATGCTGAGATATTTGCAAAACTCCGGACCGCAGGTGTATGCGGTTGGGAACGAACGGCCTCATGTCCTTTCCTGGGAGTAACGCGTTCACCACCACACCATGCGGGTCCTTCGTTTCGCCTGTCTCTCAGGTTGTTCTATCGATCTTTTGCCATCAGCAACCACCACTCAGCGGGATTGATCTGGGGGCCCAAATCGGCAACGAACCCAGTTAAGCTGAGACCGCAGTTATAATCACAATTTTAACTTATTATTTACTGCCTACTCTTTTTAGCGGCAGGGTATACATTGCGAAATATAACTTCAATGATGATGAGATATTTCGGTTCGCTGACTGACGAAGCACGTTGCAGAGAATTAGACTGCTTCTAATCGAGCTTGTCGGTAGCAACTACATTAGGATATGCAGCACTAGACGCTTATATTGAATCATCCTCACACTGTATTCAAAGATAGGTCGCCTTCGACCACATATGTCATATGGGAAACATGACTACGTAGTCAAGACATTCAAAATATGCAGCTGAGGTGGCTGCACCTACAGAATTCTTACGTGTACTAGTAGCTCTCCTTGACTGCAGGTATGACTCAGTCTGTAGTGACGAGCCTGTGAGGCACGCTGAATGAGGGCATTATATAGCCAAGAAGGATAAAGCATGACTTCATCGAATTGGGTCAGACGGGAAGACGGAGCCCATTCGACGCCGTCAGTGACATCGAAAAAGAATTGTTCCTCCGACATGCGACAACAGAGGAGGACGGGGCGTTGGCGTTTTCGTCAACATGGGTTTCGTCATGAACGTCTATTCGCTCGAACAAGTTAGAACCTTAATAGGATGTTTACGACTGAAGGGATGTAAATCAATACGGGTTTTGATATTCTTCATTATCTGCGCACCGACATCAAGTTATAACGATGACGAAGTCAAAGCGTTCCTTGTGTTCTATACGTACTTGGCAAATTTCTGCAGACAGAGGCCACACATATTTTAAGATCATCATTTTTTCTTCATAAAAATCCTGGGAAGATGTGATGCTCCACAAGTCTCTAAAGCAAGCAGAACTAACTTGACTACTTTTGCTCGCGACAAGGAAACATGGAAGATTTACTGGCGCTCGCTCGAGTCACTCAATAGTCATCGAGTTATTTGACGATCTTCGCGTCTTCAGGTTATACAAGTGATCGCCTAAACACTTTTTGAATAGCATGTGAAACTCCCGACATGGGTGAACTGTCAACCCAGATTCATCAGGGCTTCAATACTGTTACGCAAAAAGTGTCAGGTCGAAGACCTCAGAACTTCAGTTGGCTGCAGGTTTTCATATCCCAGGAATAGTCCAACCTGTTCTTCACCTTCAGAATTTCAATTTTACATGCTTTCTCAATCTCCTGAGCAGAGATGGTATATGGTTTCCGTAACCAAAAAACCGCCTTTTTTACTTACCAATACACAATCAATTTTGTACAAACTGAGTTTCCATCGCGTTTATGCTGAATTAAGCCGAATCCGTCTTTGTCGGCAAAATTGCAATCTTTCGAGTAATAACCTGTTATACTGTTGAGTACTCTGCTCAACCCACAAAATCTTAATTCGCACCAACCGGCGAAGTTCTAGCTTGCATCGTTAAAGTTCGCCCCTACCCTGTAGCTTCATGCTCTACTTTTATATGGATTTACTACACATTAAGTCAGTCGTATACGTATAATTCATGAATAGGTCTCGTTTCTCTTCATCTAGATCTTTTTTCAACATCCAACATAAATCCTCTCCAAATTGTTCCGCTCTGTATCTACGGTTTATATAAAAAGTTCCAAAATGCTATAAGGTAAAGCGGAAGACAGCAACTTTACTAGTTCAAGTGACAAAGGCGCAAAGACAGATGATTAGTGGATCAGTCTGCTCATTGCTACCATGTGAGATTTTTGGTGTATCAACACCACAGCCTCGCACTTGGGTGTGTTAACAGTAAACTTGGGAAACTAAATATTTACTCTGATGGCAAACGAATATAAACACGAGTAATAAATTCAAAAAAGTGTTACGGAAGGAATGAAAGTTACATTAACAATTAATGGTGATAAGGAACGGAGAATGGACCTCCCTAACATATCAATGCACAGAAATACCGCGTACATTGAGAACTGAAAAATATTCTAGTCATCACTTCGCACAACATCTACATGAACCTCGAGCTAGCTTAACAATCCAAGAAGACATAGATAGTAGCCTTCGCTATAGTATTGCACTTCGTGACAATCTAACTTAAAAGAAAAAAACACATTGACTCTGCGACGCAAGTGAAGTAGAGCGGCACCACTATCTTATGATGTTTTCATAGGTAAGACGGCTAAACTGCGCCGAGACTTCCTTTCCAGAAAAAGCAGTTCTAACAGATGGCTCAATGGTCACCAAGTTTCTCAGCTTTCGCAAACTTTGCAGAGTACCGCGAGCCAAAACGGTAACTCGACCTAAACACAGAGATACAAATATAAGCAAGATGACTTTAAATGAGGTAACTGAAGCTTAGAGCCACGCGTCGTGTACCTTCCTGCCGTCTATCGAGTTTTCGCAAGCACACTTCTTCTACTCCCGTCTTTTGCAATATTTTGCTCTTGACGAGAGAGCCGTCAAAGTTTCCTAAACAAGTGCATGTGGTTCAATAGATATTTATTGCTCAAACATTTTGTTTATAATAAAAACAACTGATCATAGATGATTCTGCTCAAAAACAAGCAAACTTGTAAACACTATAAGACCACATAAGACCGTTCGGGCGGAAGTTATTTCAAAACTCAAACATTTCAGTAAAAGAAAAGATGTAACTCACGCGAAACACTTGGCCAAAAGAAAATCCCGTTTATGTTGCCTTTTATGAGCGATGAAGTAAGCGTAGCTATAAAACGATGCTTAAGAAGGACAGGTCTAGAGGAATCGGTAGCGATAGTTGAAATACCACCGGCTACTCTACGTCGCCAATTAGTTCGCAACCGCCTGTATGACCGTCTGTGTGAAACAACAAATTGCGTAATTTGCCTTTACGGCAGGGACGGTGATTGCATGAGTTCAGGTACGATATACCTGATCTCTTGTAATAATTCCAGAGATGAATATATTGGCGAAACGGGCAGACCTTTGTGTATCCGTATAAAAGAACACCTAGATGGCAAACGAAACCTAAGACGAAGCACCCCACTAGGCACGCATAGGATACAAAAGCATAGCGGAGACGATTTTGAAGTAAAAGTCAATATCCTTGCACAGGAGTCCAAAACACCAGCACGAAAACTTCTTGAGGCTTTTTGGACAAATGCCAAAAACTCTACAATGAATGCCACGACCGACTTTCTGTTAACCTCGGCATTGATCAAGTGATTTTCTTCGTATTTTTGCTGAGCAAACGCGAGGTATTACTATTCTTTGTTCACGATTAAGCTGACATTTGGGCGGATTTCGCCTTCTTCAGAGCCTGGAAAGGTCAAGTTGATAGCAACTCACTCGGCCAGACGCCTCCATAACCAAACAAAGAAACTCCAAACCAAGATTTCAATCACTTCGAACACAGCTTTGCACACTCACCGCTTTCTATGAGGTTTCCACTAAGTATGTCACGTAGAAACTAACCGCACAGAAATCACGTGGAAGTATAATGTGCCCCTCACATCAGAAAAACAGTTTTATATACTGCCCTATATCACGCGTGATAATGAGGCATTCTATTCATTCTGCGGTTCATTTTCGGATTTCTGGAATTAATCCAGAGTGCCTCGAGAGTTTTTCGCGCCTGTGTTCTTGATTCGCGTGCGAGGATCGTGACACATACTTCGAAGTCGTCCCCGTTATGTCTCTGGGTCCTGTGCGTGCCTAGCGGGGTATTTGGTCTATTTTTGACGGCTAGGTGTTCTTTCATGCGGACACAGAGGGGTCTACCCGTTCCGCCAATGTATTCGTCACCACACGTCTTTACAGGAGATCAGATAAACTATACCCGAGCTCATGCAATCACCGTCTCTACCACTGGGGCAAATTATGCAATTTTGAGTTGCACATAGACGGTCATATAGGCGGTTACGAACTAGCTGGCGCTTAAGATTACTCGGTGGTATTTCAACCACGCTTACCGAATTCTCTAAGCCCGCCCTTCTCAAGCAGCGTTTTATAGCTGTACTTATATCGTTTGAGATGAAGGGTAGGATAAACGGGACCCTTCTATCGCTAGAGTTGTCGTTTGGAGGCCTACGATTTCCTCTACACCTATTCTGAGCTACAGTTTCGTAGCCATTAGAAACGGCTATTTGCCGTGCCAAGTTCCGGGACTCCTCTCTCTGCTCTCTTCCCGTGCACACGTTGGTTGCTGTTCGAAACATGTTTCTTATAAGCGCCCTTTTCGTGTGAGAGGGGTGAGAGGAGAGAGAGGATAAAAAGAGAAGTAAATGTATGCTGTTTAAAAACCTCGCGATTGCTGGACAAGAAAACTACGCATTCAAGAAATTGGGTTGCTAAAAGAAACCCCGAGGAGAGTTTCTAATTCGTTTGCTGTTTTTTCCCTTCGATGCGTGTTCTCAATGTTTTTAAAATGAAC